TTGTCGCCTGTAAATAAGGATTAATTTAAAAATTTTAGCTATATCCAAAAAAATTTCTTACAGCTGCTACAGTTTTAATACGCTTCGTTTAATTAAACGGATGCATAAAATTAGTTTTACACTGTAAGCGGTTTCGTAAAATATCTCCACCGTTGTTGGCTGCAGCGGTGCATGGTCAACACTTTCTTACACAATTTCACGGCGCACGCGCACCCATGTTTCATTTGTGATTTCACCGACACTCCCCACGGACGTCCTTTCCGCTTCTAAACACAGGGTAGTAGTGAAAATCTAGAATTTATTAGGGCCGTTTGGATCTCTAAACGAATCAGTGGAATGAACATTTACGTAATGATTTTCTGTATATTGTAACTACATTTCATTTCATTGTATGTAGAGATATATCTCGATTGATAAATCATATAATAATGTGATAATGTGCCTGACAACCACACCCATTACCTGGTCTTAAACTAGGTAATTCCCTGTACTATGAGTATCAGAGCAATGGAATTCACTTTGTGGCACTTCCCAGAACAACCAGGCCCGTACCAAAATTGGCAAACTTCATTTCCGAAATGAATCCTACCGAGAATCGAACCCGGGACCTCCTCATCCAGTACGCACAGTGCAATCCATTAGACCACTAGTGTCGTCAAAAATTAAAAGGCATGTGCTAACAGAAAAACTGAAATTCTAATATAGGTATCTTAATTACGATAAAAGTAAACGAAATTCAGAGGAAAAGTACCTATATCTTTATTGGTGAGTGCTTTGCTCGTTATTTGTTTACGAGGTTCGTTTATTAACAATAAGATTCGTGACTTCCTATGTTAGTCATTTACGAGTTTCCTCAAACATAATTATATTTGTCAATTTAATACTCCTTCCTACTCATTGTTATAACAATATCTCGGAGTAATAACAAAGCGTACTTACAAGAGTAAAACTGCGTGAGTGGCCGAACGGTTACCATGCTGCTCAGCCACGCAGAGGTCCCGGGTTCGATACCTGGGTCGGGAGAAATATTTGTATGGTCCACATTTATTTCTCTCGTGAGTTTGAGTGTAATTTGTGGTTGTGTATGTGTGTGTCCAAGACACCCGTAATTGCTGGTAAAATTACAAGCACAATGGGACTTGTCAACTTATGTCTCACGGTGACAGGCGCAGTGGCGGTGCCCCTCAGATCTTTGCGATTTAAAGCTCTGAGTGGTACTGCAACTGTTATGGACAGGCGTGTAGCTTACCATTAGGTGCACGAATATTATTCGTCTCGTCACTTGATATTACATTTAAAAAAATACAGGGTTTCCCTTGTAGTGCGGGGCTATGAATGTGTCCGTTAAAAAAACAAACTATTGTAATGTTAATATGTTTTTTATTTTTAAAACTGTTGTTGTTCGCTTATACAAGGAAACATTTTTTGACGAATAACAATTTAACTTTGAGTATATAGTTTGAAAGAGTAAGACAATTTAAGCCAACTACGTCGAACAAATTATTTTTGATGTAATTGGCCTTTACGTCCTTTCTTACTCGAAATATCGATAATTTCTAGCATTCTGTGTATACTCCAATTGAGCAACCGATCTTACTCCCCAGTATTCAAATATAACAGGTTGCAATAATTTTTCAATCTATTTTGAATCTATTTATTTATTTATTTATTAGGCACACCAACAGTTACTACAATAATTCAAGAGTAAGTAATACATTTCACAAACTAATCTAATTCCGTAACCATTTATAGGCGAGCACCTCAAGCAAAAATAAACATGTGTGTATAAATTAAAAGGAAAAAGAAGAGGAAACAAAAGATAACAAAAACAATTTTAACAATTTTAAGACCAAGAAACTAACTTAAAAATATATATATATTTTTAAGCAGAATACACACAATCATAACGCTCCTGTCGTTAGTACGCAATTTGCCCAACCCACTATAAGTAGTTACTCTATCTAGAGATTATCTCTATTAGCCTTCGTATTCTGTAAAAGGTAATTATAATAATAATGCTTGGCCCATTGTTTCAAGATGCCTTTGAAAAGTACATAGGTAAAAGCTGCCAAATTAAACTATATATTAATAGAGAGGTTTGCATTAATATTACACATAACTAGTTGATGACTTTACCATTACAATCAACCGTGGCTATGGAACCTTGGGAATTTTATTAGCAGTAGAGCTGCTTGTGAATAAGTTCATTCAGGGAAGTACTGCCACCTTACCTATTTCTGCGTTTCGGTTATGAAGGGTAAGTGTGCTGGTGAAATTACAGGCACATGGGACTTGTCGTCTTGCGTTTCAGGGTGACGGGCGAAGTGGCAGTGCCCCTCGGATCTTTCCGATTTAAAGCTCTGAGTGACACTGCAACTGTCATGTATAGGAGTGTCGCTTACGACCAGGCGCACAACGACGTCCCGTTGTTTGGTATCATGAAAAAACCTGTAAAGAACCCGAAACGTTTTTGTAAAAAAATAGTTGCATTTCAAAAGCGTAGAAATAGCGAAAAGTATCCTAGAGAGCGTTTCAGCATCCTCAGGATAAGCTTTGTCGCTCTCTCGTTATATCCCAGTTATCTTTTCCATCATTCAATTTCGGTTTTTATTCTCACTCCATTACTGTTCATGCGGCCAAACTTTGGAATGCACTTCCCATTACTGACCATGATCTTTAAAATAACAGTCAAGGAGCACTATTTATCGAATGTTCAATCCATTTTATAGTATGAAATATGTATTTATATAGTCTGTAGTAATTAAATGTTTTTGTTATTGTTTTTTTATTATTATTTTATCACATAATTTCATTTTGTTTTGTTGTGCACGTAAACCCTGTATTTATTATTGTGACCTGTATTTTGGTCTGCAGGAAGAAATTTCTTTTAGAATCAGGTAGTGCCTTCTGTTTGTGTTTTCCGTTTTACTAAATGTGATTTGTGTTTTCCTGTGCAATAAATGATTAAATAAAATAGACAAGCTAAGAAGTCTACATGCCAAGGTAAAATTAAATGTTGACCATCGGCTTTTTGTAGGATCACGTGTGGAGGTAATACGCCTTTACTACTGTAAGCTAATGCTTAAAAGTTTGCATTTGATTTTAGCGGACAGCCAGCACTGACCCACATTATGCAATTACCCATTCGGAATTTTCACACAACATCAACCTTAATGAGCGAAAATCGCGCACATACCTGTAGGTACATAACTAAGACATAACTGTTAGACTTTCACGCAAGAAGCCTCTGTTTTTTTCTTTTTATGCCACTTAATTTACCCCATATTAAGTGACAATTTTGTTAGTATCGAGTCTAATGACATGGACGAAATTGCGGAAGTATGCTAAAGGAGTATCCACGCATTCGCGTGATTTCACGGTTATTTTACAAAATTGACGAATTCAACATGGAAACAACAAAGATCAAGATATAATTTTTTCCTTCATCAGGCGACACTAGCGTCTATATCAATATATATTTTTTCTCGCTAAAACGATATTTTTGAATGCAACAAGTTGCAAATCTATACTAGTTTAGTAGCAGTAGAGCTCTTGTGAAAGAGCTCGTTCAGGGTAGTACTGCCACCTTAATTATTTCTGCCGCCAAGCAGTAATGTCAGCATTACTGTGTTCCGTTTTGAAGGGTAAGGGTGCTGGTGAAATTACAGGCAAGTTGGACTTGTCAACTTATGTCTCAGGGTGACGGGCGCAGTGGTAGTGCCCCTCAGATCTTTGCAATTTGGCACTGTAACTGTTACGAACAGGCGTGTAGCTTACCATCAGGCGCACGACTTGTTCGTCCCGTCATATCTTAAAAAAAGACTAGCACTACCACAACAAACTTTAGTAAATATATCGAATGTTAGAAAACGTAATACCTATTACGTTTTCTAACATTCGATAGTAAAACAATTCGATAGTAATAGTAAAACCGTCAAAAAGAAATATATTTCTAGCATGTGTTAATCATAGTGAGCCACTCTTTTCATTACAAGTTACGATTAGGTATTAAATCTTGAGAATATCACGCATGACTTGATTTAGCGCAAATTCATCTATGTTTTCTCCTTCGCACGAAGTTAGGCAGTAATCTGTGCATTAATCAGTGCTGGTACGGCGTTCGATTACATCTCTAACAGAGAAATGCCTCTTATATTTCGTAGCACTAAAGCAAAATTCTTTGCTACACATTAATAAGTGTTGATACGCATCTCCCTTTCATAATTGTGCGTATTATGGTTATTAAATTGGATGATAAGAAGAATATAGCTTTACGTAACACGTACTACAATAAATGTACTAATTACTCGTTACATGTAAAAATGTTTCCTTCTTTCTCCTAGACTGTCGAATAACCTAAATTCACCGGACGTGGTCCGTAAACGAGTTAATTGCTGGCGTAATTTATAATATCACTGTACAATTCACCACGCGCGTTACCTCTAGTTACCATGGCTTAAAATGTTTAATATACTGTACAGTTATTTACAATGCTATATTCGTAGAGCACAGTGTCAGACCTACTTTTCAATGATTATCATAATACGTGATTTCCAGTCATATCGTAGGACCTCACGGTGTCTGTCTTACGTGTAATATGTCATTCCAACCTCTATTTGTCCGCAAAACGTCTCGGTGTTTTGTAGAAAAGACGTAAACGACGTGTCGTAGATTTTTCATTTTTTAAAATTAAATTTTGGTTTTAGTTAAATTTAGGATTTTTATTTAAAATTGAAGCTTAAAACATGATGTAAATATTTTAAAACAGTTGTTAGAACCTAAAAAATCTCCTGAACAATCTACCAAATGTCACATAAATACTATACCTGCAAAACAGATCTTGCATGGTGCAATTGTATTTCGTCGTCTTTGCTTCAATTTAAACTATAGTTACATTTGCAAAAATCTTTCAATATCGACAATAGAAAAAAGAATACTTATGCATACTTACAAATTTTTTGTTCTTAAATTTTTTAACCCTTGCATTTTATTTGTTTTAGTTCCGGGAAGCGGCAAATTGGCTCCAATGTCTTAGCAAGGTAAATACACACATTATTTTTAACAAATAATAGAAATAAAGTTAGGAATAATCCAAGGATAAATGGAAGACTACACTGTGACTGTAAAGATACTAAAGCATACAGCGCCATCTAGCGGAATTTGACAGAACTATTAACTTCGTGACCACTGTATTAGTTCGCGCAACGTTTCACAAACCCAAACGGCGCAGTAATGTTGCGGCATACTGCCAATAGATGTCGGTACTGTATATAAAAATTTGTGCAGACTACAGATAGAACTTTGTCGAACTAGCATTATATAGCCAAACCATAAAAACCAGAAAAAATATTATTTATTAGATATTATTAAATAAGTTTAAAAAGTCATATGTATTTTATCGCTGATAATCGTTTTAATTAAATGCTACAATTACGCCAAGCTAAGTTAAATAAGGTCAGTCATCTAATTAACCTTCTTAGTGGAGGTAATTCATAATTGATACAAAATTAGAGTATGGAACACGTGAATAATAATGGGAACGTACGTACTCTAACACGTAACCTAAAAAAGTAGTCGGCCTAGTCTAAAGGGTTCGAGAACCAAATAAAAATATCTAAGGTAATTTACCAGTCGAACGATTAACAGTAATGCAATGTCGTCATTGACGTAGTCGACAAGGATTACTACTACTAAAACTAAACCTTTACAAACTTAACTTCAACCTACCTTTTTTTTAAATAGGTCGACCTATATTGAGAGACGTATGCCGTAATTGCTCTGGGTATTTTTTTTTCTCTTCCTAGACTTAATATGATTAGTTGGACTTTTGGCCCACTAACCACTTCTCATTCTAGAATTTATAGGGTCTAAAAAGGTAAATGTTGTGTTGTTGCAGCCAGCTGTATCGGTCGTCGTCGTTCAACTCGTCCGGCTGCGGGTCGGGCGGGGAGCCGGCAGACGACATGTACTCTGATGTCTCACTCGAAGAAGACGTCCAGGGACTGAACTATAAGGTCAGTGGCTATATTTACCGATCAATATCAACCTAAAATTGTACACCTAAAGTCTACAACAAAAAATTTCGTTGGACGACTGTCGCGTCTAGCCTATTCCCATATCACGACTATCTGTCGTGACTGTGTCGTGGACGTTTATTTTATCGTAGAACGACTGTCGTCTCTAGCTGTTCCCTCTAGATCGTGACGACAATTTATCGATCCACGACAGAATCGTTTTAAGCTGCTATTATCTATCGACACATTTTTATCGTGACGATTTATTTATCGTCTGACGACTGTTGCTCTAGCTCTTCCATTGTCACGACAGTCTGTTCCTGTCCTGAATGACAGTGTTGATCTATGTATGAACAACTTCTTTTAAATATACAAGCCACGACATTTTACACTGTAGGACTGACTATATGTCGTCACGACATAATGGGACCGCGCCCTTTTTTTTTCTAATATCAAGTGACGGGACGACCAGAACAGTTGCAGTGTCATTCAGAGCTTTAAATCGCAAAGGTCTGAGAGGTACTGCCACTGTACCCGTCGCCCTGAAACATAAATTGACAAGTCCCATGTGCCGGAATTTCACTAGCACACTTACCCTTCAAAACCGGAACACAGTAATGCTGACATTACTGCTTGGCGGCAGAAATAGGTAAGATGGCAGTACTTCCCTGGACGAGCTTTTTTGCAAGGAGTCTACTGCTACTAACTTATTGTTATATCGTCTGCAACTACCAATACGTTAAGTCTTCTGTTCGCGAAAAAATATGTTGAAGTAGTTTCTTTAACCTAGCATTATTCCAGTCGAAAACACGCGCCTGTATAAACAATGTAAGGTAATTTTCGTCACGTACCTATGCCAACGAGTGAGCCTCTGTACATACTTATGTCAACATGTAAGCGTACATATGTACGCAGTAATATTATCTATAGATATTATAACGTGTCTGATTCTCCGTAAGAAATTATAATATCGTAATTTAACTGTCACGCGTCATAGAGACACACGGTGTCCCTTATGATTTTGGTACTGTAGCGTCCTAGCGGCATACTGTGTCTCTAACGCGCGACTGTGTTTTTATTGGCTGAACACAATTCCATCGTGTCAAATATTTTACTATACAAAACAGAATCATCAATAAGCGCCAACATGGCGCCAACCAATTACGATAGCAATGCTTCATGAGACATCGCATGTATATGAGATTTTCAAGAAAACTCCTCACGATACTCGGAAATTGTTTTTATCATCTATGTAGTCCTCGGCCTCATTGTTTTATCAAGTCATTACGTCAATTTCCTTCCGCTTGCATTGTTCAGGAGTGATAACACGGACATGTTGTGAACATTACTTTACTCAGTGCTGTTTGTAACTTAAACTTAATGGGTATAAGTTTTAAAATAGACCACAATGCGTCGTGTGGTGTAGATACACACGTTACAGTACAAAACAGATTATCAGTAGCCACATTGAGGCAACAGACCCTGGTTCGAGACTGGTGTTTGTTGGGTCTTTGTATCAAGTATTAAAGTATTTTCACATAAAATAGATGAATATCATGGTAGTAAAAATATCATGATATTCAATAACAAATTATAAAAAGCCGACCTCAAACGTACGTGGAATTACATCTATTTGCCAAGTTTTATTGAAATCGGTTACCGGAAAGTGCACGAAACCGGATACATCCCCTAGTTTGCCACCTTTAGAGGTGGAATATTTTCTTCAAATTTAAATGGGACCAATACTGAGGTACCCTCTTTCCAACAAAAAAGAATCATCAAAATCGGTTCACAAATTATCGCGTAACATACATACAAAAAAATACAGTCGAATTGAGAACCTCCTCCTTTTTTTGAAGTCGGTTCAAATATGCTTAATAAGTTAAAACAACAAAACTATAATTATATTTTAAATATTTGTATTGATTCGTTGTTTAAAATTAAAATAAATATCTCTAAATTCGTCAAATTAACGTGTCTCATGAAATTATTTTCTTAAACGTTAAAAGTAGATTACTTTAGTCACGCAAATAATACGGAACGATGATCGAATAAAACAAACCGTTGGCGTTACCATTCCGAAAATAACCACTCGCGGAATCGAATTTAGTTCACGCCTTGCAATAAATAATCGAAATATCTTTGTTAAAACTATGGAGCTAATAAATGTTTATTAAAGAATGAAGAAACAGAAAATTTAGAAACGTTTCGGTTTGTTTGAAAAAACAAAAATTCAGTCAACCGCGACCTGTAAAGGGTCCAAAACGTTGGTTTGTTTGAAAAAACAAATATACGCGATTTAAATCCGGAAAAATAGTTACATTTCCTACTCAATCGATTAATTTCTTAAATTATTAAAGGGACAATTCTTATTTTTTTATAAAAAATAAGTGCACACTTGACTTCCATCTCACCTGGTGGAAAGTGACGATGAGGTCGACTATGGATGAGGTGGTCGATGATGCACGCCTAAATAATGTCTATTGACTCTCGCCTTCAAAAGGTCCAAGTTATAACGTTCAGGGAACAAGTCTGCAGGCAGGGAATTCCACTCCATAACAGTTCGCCATATAAATGTGGAAGCGAAGCGCTTCGTGAGAATACTTAGAATATCCACAACATAGGGGTGGAACCCCAGCCTACGCCTAGTCCCCCGGTGATGGAAAGGGGAAGGCGGAATCAAATTATGCAATTCGATCGCAAACTCGCCGTGATATATCCTCAATATCAGCTAAACCTAACGAGTAGGTAATGACTTATTACTTCTCCATATTTCCTGATTATTTTAATAGCCAAACTCAAGCGCAAAACTTCAAAATAAGGCTATTTAAAACTATAAGTTTTATAGATTAATTTAGTGAAAAGAAAGTTGAAGTTTTATTTAACAATCAGCCTTACAATTTATACATTTGTAGTTTATATTTAGCTGTTGGGTTTGGCAGAAGTATGAATATAGAATTAATATTGGAAATAAGAGCTTGAGAAATATGGTAGTAGGAACTCTGGCGGCATGCAAGAAAATGTAGTGACAAACATAGAGAAAGGGATGCTTAGTTGGTACGGATATGCAAAGAGTATGAAAGAAAGAAGATTGACGAAACAGATTTAGAAGGAACGTGTCGGTGGGCGTTTTGTAGGGGCCGACCGGCGAGCTTCTTCTTCTTTAGCCGTTCTCAACCTCTAAGGTGTAGGCCTCCTTCAGTTTATGCCATCTTTCCCGATCTTGAGCAGTTTCTAACCACTTTGTTTTCACCAGTGCTTTGTTATCGTCCTACCAACGCATCTGTGATCACAGATTCCTCTTGGGCGTTTCTCGAGTGAGCGTACCACTACCAAATTGACAACATTCCAAAGAAAGGCCTTCATCATCATCATGGGTCTCATCTCAGGAGGATTTGGTCCATAGTCCGCCACGCTGGCTCAATTCGGGTTGTGAACCTTCTTCGACGTGCAAGTTTCATCACCGAAAAGTTCATAGTATATTTCAAATTAAAGTACTGATGCGTGTTAATGAGGCGCATGATTTATATCAGTATCGCAGCCAGTGGCTGTGATGGAAAACAGGGTGAAGTATATATTACCTGTAACGGCTTTACTAGCCGTTAATTGAGAAGTGCGCTATAGAATTAGAAACTAACCCAAGTGCAACCTATTTCCACCTTTCTCCGTGCAAGGTCGAGCTGGCCTGCAGCCAAAATCTAAAATAAATACGCGTAACGTGCTTTAACATTTGGTGACAACACATGCGAATTTGAACAGTTTACTCAAACTGTGTTACCACAGTATATTTTAGAAGTATATGGCTACTGTGTAAATATAAACAGATAAGTTTATGCATTCTTAAACAAATGTGTGAAGGTCATAAAGTAAATAATGCTGAAAAAATTTCTAAAAATTGAACCAAATGTACGTTTATATTTATACCGATCAAAAGTACTGTTATGTACTGACTGTATTTCCGTTTACTATCAATAATTAAAGATTATCACATTTAAATTCCATTACGATTCAATATTACTGTCCAATGAACTCAATCAGCATAATATTATGTACAATATCTCTATTCAAATAATATATAAATACATTAATAGTCAAAGGAAAGGGCTCTAACAATGGAGCGTGCCGGTTCATTTCATAGTCGCACTAGATCGCCGCAATGGCCGCCGGAAACGAGTCCTCAGCTGCGCTCGCGCCGTTTCCGGTCCTACGTGCGTGCGTCGCTATCCTTTCCTATACGATAAACACGACTATTATTAGACAAATGGGTTTGTGTTAATGGCCAATATTCCTTCAAAATATGGAACAAGATTAAAGACTAATTCGAATTAATGGCATACATAATAAACCGCTCTCTGAATCTTTAGCACTAGTTTTGAGAATACAACAGAGAGATCGATCATCTAAGACGCCTATGAAACCTGAAACACTATCTCAAAATCAATCTAAGACTATAAAATATGAATTATTGAACGTCAACCACATTACTCGTATTTCAAGTTTCAAAATCGACATTTTATCTCACTTTAAACTCTAATCCGACACCTAGCAGTTAACCTATACATTTACAATAGTTGTCCCCAGGTGCATAGAAGTGTTATTAGTACATTCTAAACAATAGGTCCTTCGAGAAACTTCATGCCAATGGTCAATCTATATAGATAAAGTTATAAGACGACATGACTTGAACAATGGTTTTAGAAACGCCATAGATAGACTTTGTCGTAATTGTATGAAAGATTGAAGTACTTACGTTGTTAAAAAACCAATTAATTGTGTATGAAAAAAACTTGAGACACTTGGATCCTGACTTACTCTTATGATATCATTCGCTTATTGCAACCTTAAGAATAATTTAAACAATCTAATAAACAAGGTGACGATCAAGCTCAGTAATCGAGATGATGATAGGCGTTTCTCCGGACTCCTGACATCCTTGACACACTTGCAGGCACCTACACTATGCGCACACGCCACCCACAGGCGTTCCATTGTTTTGTGGA